ATTTTGAATCTAGATAAGTCCACACTGTTATGAAGATCCAAGGGAGGTGTGGAATTTGTTAGGACAGGAATAAGGGCCGTCAGAGACTCGAAAACGATCGTAGGAAGTGAAACGGGAGCAAAACAGGCCTTGGTGGCTCAGGAGGTGGCGCGAGCCACCATTTGGTGACTCGGCCTTGGCCGAGCTAGTAAGTGGTGACTCGGCTTAGGCCGAGTTAGTAGATGGTGGCTCGACCTTGGTCGAGCTAGTAAAAGGGGGCTCTACCCTGGCCGATCCAGTACATGGCAAATTCTCTTTTCCACCGATTTCGGGGGTTTTTTTGCCCTTTTTTCTCCATACTTTGTGTAGTTTTGGTGCTTTTTAGGCCACCTCTTCTTTTTGCAGTTTCTTGGCTTTCTACATAAGGATTCTAGCATGCGCAAGCAATGTGTGGTGTTTCTGAATGTGTTCCTTAAGGGTTGAACGGGTCCTTTTGACGCAGACCCACTCATCCGTTGCTAGTTTGGAGGATAAGGTATTCACTCACTGTTGTGACGATTGGCGCCTCCTAAACTTTAAATTCGCCTCATAACAGATCCCGTCAACTAGCTCCAAAGCCTTGGCGAGTTAGTGTGCGAGGCGATGACGTTGCCTTTGACATGCTCTCTTTGATAGAATTGGCGCCCCTTCTGCAATAAGCTCCTTGACCAAGGAGGGTTTCAAATCTAAAAATTCAACTTCTTCAGGCATCATAGGAGCATTGGGAGATGCAACTGCAGTAGTGATAGGGCAGAGATTATCATCTTGGATCTTCAGATCTGAAGACCAGCGAACTTTCCTTGTGGAAGAGATCTTCTTGCTCTTTTGAGGGGAAGATCGTCTAGAGGAGGAAGACATATACTCCTCTTACTTTTGTTGGTCGAACTCGTATTCGACCTCTTCGTCAACTGGGATGAGGATCCTTGGTTGTGACACTATAGCCTTCACAGAAAGGCCGTTGGCTCCCACTGTGGTCACTAGTTTGTTTTCGTCAAAAGTTGAATTTTTCATTGTCGTCAAACCTGTTACACCGTTTATCAATTACAAGTTCAAGTTGATCTTTTTATAAGATCTTCTTACAATAAGAAAAGTGAAGATTACAACTTTATGAAACAAAACACAGCAGTAGTTTATCTCCTGTTGCTTTGTGTGGGATCTTTGCTTGTGCCGGGGACACGTTAGTCCGTGGACCGCCGCGGATCAGATCCGGTTAACAAGTGTAATTATGCTCTTGCTTCACGAAGGAAACAATCGCTGCAGCGATAATCACGACCAAGCGAGATTGTGGCTCTTTTTGAGATCAAAACTAGGTTTGATCCAGAGGAAAGAGGGGGGGGGGGGGCCAAATCTTTCGAAGGCTTTTTCGGATTTTCTTTACGAAAAAGTTCGCCAAGATATGAGAATTCTCCTCTGAAATTTATAGTTTACTGCTCAATTTGACAGCACCTCGCCCTCAGATTTCAGATCCCCTCATATAAAGACCCTGGGATTCTATTTATAGGCTTTTGTCACCATGTTTTCTGAAAAGATGAAGTGTTTTGACAACATCTATAGTTGATAACCGTTCAGGCACACTTAAGGATAGCTTCAGAATAGTTGGGGAGGTCGTGAGATGAAAGAATTCTAATAAAATATCAAAATCCACGCTTTAGGAAGTTTTGGGAGGCCAAATACGTCGTGGTGGTCATAGCTGTGTGAACCACCATTTGGTGACTCGTACAGGTGAGATTCACCATTTGGTGACTCGCATGCGTGCGAGTCACCATTTGGTGGCTCGCACTCATGCAAGCCTCCTAGCCTGCTGTTGTGTCTTCTTGACCCTTTTGGCTATTTGTATCTCCTTCGGTTTGCTTGCTTTGCCCCTTTATGCATGTTTCGTCACTTTGTTGACTTATGCGCTTTACTGATTCGCTTTACTGATTCGGTTCATGTGTTTTACCGGTGTCAGATAATCTTTTTTGACTCGAGTAATGATGTTCATCATGTTCTCTTTGTCTTGAGCTGTGTGTGGGAACCCATAGGCAATTTTTGATGCCTACACATATAATACACTTGTTCGTTGCTTTTCAATGGTCTTGTACTTTTAGCGAATGGGAACACCATAACATGGGGGCCCTATCTCCAATGTCTCTAGCCGGTAGAAGCCAGTTATGTCTTAAAGATGATTCATGAGTGAACTTGCGGGAATCACCCAGGATTTAGAATGCTAGCACAGAAGGAAATGCAGCGAGGCTACTATTGGCCCATGATCCTAGTTGAGTACAAGAGACTCGTCTCTCGATGCAAGACCTGCCAGTTCTTCTCAAGTATACCACAAGCTTCGGTAGATGAACTATTTCTTCTCATACGCCTGATTCATTTTGCTTAATGGGGATTGGACTTATTGGGACCTCCCCTAATAGCTTTAGGGCAATAGAAGTTTTTGATTGTTTCCATTGACTATTTCACAAAATAGATAGAAGCTGAGCCTCTGGCCAAAATCAGCAAAAGCAACCCCACCAATTTTATGTGGAAATTCATTGTCTATGAATTTGTGGTCCCCACTTCTTTTGTCATAGATAATGGTACTCAATTTCACAGCAAAGACCTCTATAGTTTTTGTGAAGAATGGAAGATCCAACTCAAATTCACTTTGGCTACACACCCAAAATGCAACGGGCTTGTAGAAGCTACAAACAAGTGCATACTTTAGGCTTTGAAGAAAAAAGTAGACAAGGCTATTAGGAAATTGGGTTGAAGAGATCCCTGGGATTTTGTGGTCGTATCGAACCACTCATAAAAACTCCACAAGGAAAATCTCATTCAAGCTAGCATATGGAGCCGAAGCGGTCGTCCCAATAAAGTTGGTCTGCCAACCATCCGACTACAACATTTTGACAAAGAGGCATACTCAACACTACGAGTTGGAATTGACCTTATTGATGAAGTTCGAGAAGGCTCACTTAGATCACAGGTTACCAAAAAACATCACATCGCCCAACACTATAACAGCAACCAACAGCACATCGTCCGACACTACAGCAGCAATGTACGACCTCAAAGATTTCGTCTTAGCTTGAAATCGAGGCCCACATTCACATGGGTTGGGGAGTGATTGGGAATTAGAATAAGTGGATGGGAATAAGACACCTCACTACCAAGCATACCCATTTCTATATATATATATATATATAGAGAGAGAGAGAAATGGAGAAACTTGGAGAGCGCTGGCCAGCCACTCCCCAGCAGTGCGCTGCGAGGGCTTTGTTCTTAAAAGAGGCCAGCGATTTCTCGGCTCAAACAAAAGCGCCTCTTCTCACTCTCTCTCAAAACTGGCCAGGCGAATCTCACCCCAACAATGTAACTCCCTCCAAAACCCCCAAATCACCCCCAAACGTCGCCGATCCCGACGTCCGCCCGGATCCCAACTACTCCCGACACGGCAGCTTCCGAATCCTCCCAACGCCGCTGATCCCGACTCCCGCCGACCCGCTCCTCCACGGCACTGTCGACGCCAGTTCGACGCTCACCGACCGATCGACTCCTCCACGATACCGCGACGCCCCGCCTCAACTCCGCGGCGACCATCTCGAGATCCCCCTGCCTCCGCATCCAGCAATTCGACACCAGTTGCACATTTGCGCGCCCCTACGTCTCCGGCCGACCCACCCCAGCCCTCGACTACGGCCCGCACATCTCCTCTTCCCCTGTGAAATCCCCCAACCCTGCTGTCAGATCTCGATCTCCCTCGAGCTCTCTCTCGAGATCCACCGCTCCGCCAACATCCCCCAACTCCGACGAAGCTAAATTGTTGAGTATGTCTGGACTTGTTCCCATTTAACTTTTTGTTTGCTTTTCGCTTCCGTATTCCACTCCTGCATCACATGTTAGCATTAAATTGTTGAGTTCAGGGTAATTTAATGCATGGTTCAAGCATGTTGAGAATATTTGATTTTACTTGAGAGAAGCTAAAACAAAAAAAACCGTACAGATGGCTAAATGATCAAGCAGGACCTTTTGATTTGAAATCTACATGTACAAATGACTAACAAAGGTATCAGTTTGGTATTTCTCAGCATGAGCTTTGCTGAGAGCTATCATTGAGCAACACACTATCTATGAACAGCAATCTTTTTTTCTTATTTTCTTTTCTAATTTATCTCAAGGGAAAGCAAGCATTGCGTGTGAACTTCTTTCCAATTATTTTGTACACATGGAATTTTCTTTCTTTTTTGCTTCCTTTCCACTGTTTGATTTCCCTCTCGCTCATCTTTCCAATGGAGTCATTCAATCCATCCTCTAGCTACAAATGTTGAGAATATTTGATTTTAATTTATTTATTGACAGTTTATTGATTTTAATACATTCTGGATACTTCTGAAGTTAGTTTGGTTAAAAATTGGAATACTTGTGGCACAGGTTGTTGGAGCACAGGTTGATGGGTCATACTTGTGGAACAGGTTGCTAGATATTTTCGTTAATACTTAATGGATGTCATCAAGGCGTTGGAGAATATGCAAACAGCCTACATGGACTTGATTTTTGTTGTTGTTGTTCTTGTTACTATTTTATGGAGACTTGTATGTGGCTGTCAAATGGTACCTGTGGATTTTTCTCATCATGAACTTGTTACTATTTTATGGAGACTTGTATGTGGCTGTCAAATGGTACCTGTGGATTTTTCTCATCATGAATATTCTCATCTTGTATATAATGCAAACAGCCTATATGGATATTCTCATCTTGTTACCATTTTATGCAAACAACCTTCTGCTCATTAATGGCTTGGGATCTGTTAATGCTCCTTTGACTCTTACTTCATTTGTCTAGGTCTCTGATGATAAATATTGCTTACATGCAAGTTTTGTGGGGTCTTTGTATCATAAGTACCTGTGGATTTTTCTCATCATGAACTTTGACATATTATAAGTTTTCACCAGGAACCGAAGATCTAAGCTGTGGTGGAGCTATTACATTGTAAACATCCAAAAACTAATATTGTAAACATTCAACACATAACTTACAAATCATATCACATGTTTTTTACAACGAAGAAGCCAACAAATATTACAACGATACATGCTATAAACAGTAATATTGTAAACACTAAACCTAACGCAAAAGCATAGATGAGGGTAATATCAGTTGGACGTTGAACTGGTGTCTGGACAGACATTGAGCTTGACGCTAAATCACGATAGATGATGTGCTTCTCCCATTCAATCAAAGCTTCTTCGTACGTTGCATACCCTTTGTAGGAAGCATTTGGAAATTTATCAACTTGAGATATACATTCCTCCCAATTATCAAATATGCCACATCTTCAACCTCTCTTCACGATATAAAACCTCTTTCTTGCCATGAATAACCTGAAATACATAGAGTTCAACAAGCTCGAATCAGCCTATTAACAAAAAACAGCCACGAGAGCTCAACAAGCTCGAATCAGCTAATGAGACCAAAAAACAGGCCAAAAAAATCTCTCTATGTGGACCTTGAAACAATAAGGGAATGCAAACCAGTTAATCGTGAAAAATTCTCTCTATATGGTAAAGACACCTGTCCAAGACGATACAGATATCAGATGTTTGTATGAAGAAGTGCTCGAAAATATGCACTCCAAAGTATCTAGTGCACGATTATTGCTGTTACTTATATTTTTCATCTTTAGTTACTATGGCTGTGCTGTTTCTTAGGATTCCCTTTTTACTGTAATATTAGCTTGTACCCCTTTCCTTTTCGGGGAGGACTTTACACTTGGTTTCTTGTATTGTTTTATTAATTTCTCCATAAAAAGAAAGAAGAAAACAAGAAAAACTAGAATATATTTTACTTTATTCAGTAGCAAGTAATAGCAATCTGGTATAGGGGCAACATATGCATAGCTTACGAGCAGAAATGTCAACACAAATTATGAACAAATACATGTAGAAATATATAAGCAAAGAAGGATTTTGGTGCATTTGATTCCCTACCTTCAATAGACTCGAATTACTCGACTTCTCGTTTGATTGCATATCAGTCCGTTGTCTCTTCTTCATGACAATGTTGTGAACCTTATCCAGTTTCACTATAGAATTTTGCAGTAATTCTGACCTCTCTCTAGTAAAAGACAAGCCCATTAAGCAAATAGATTTAAAAACATTAGGCATGCTAAGCTGCGAAAACAGAAAATCTTTCAGGTTTACGACTTACTCTGCCCTCGAATGATTCTCGTCGATGCATCTTCTGAATCGTTTAAGCTCATCCCAGGATACAGGGGGTAGGGGCTTTGATTGCAAGGATCCAAATGGATAGTTCTCAACAGAAATTCCAAGAACTCTCCTCAACTCCCCCGATCGAACGTTCCTCAGCCCATTAATGGGGAAAGGCTCTAGTGACTTATACTGATAAATTGGAATAGTTTCGGCATTTCTTGATCCTATTTGCCCAGAAACCATCATTCGATTCTCTATACTCTCACGAGAACTCCCAGACCTATCCAAATTCGAGGTAGAGTAATTTCCCCGCTGCCCATTTGGATGGACAGAAGCAAAGCTTATTCCATTGAGACTGCTCTTGGGGTGTCGTGGAGGAGTCGGGGCTGGTCTTGGAGGCGAGACTCCTGGGTCGTGGCAGTCGGGGCCTGGCGGCGTCGGCGGGAGACTAGGGCGTGCGAGGCAGGATGTCGAACTGGTGTGGAATTGCTGATGGCGGACGGGGGGATCTCGAGATCGGTGCCGAGTTTGAGGCGGTGGCGCTCGCGGTGTCGGTGGAGGAGTCCGCGATCGGTCGGTGAGTCGCAACTGGCGTCGACAGATTGCCGTGGAGGAGTCGGGTCGGTGCGGGACGTTCGGGCCTATCAGCGGCGTTTGGGGGCATTTCGTGCGAGGTATTGAGGTCGGCGGGAGTCGGGATCGGCGCGCGCTTGGGGGGATTGTGGCGGTTTTGGAGGGCAGTTCCAATTTGGGGTGAAGATCGCATCTGGCGCAGTTTGACGGAGAGAGAGAGTAGAGCGCTTTGTTGTAGCGGGAGACGAAACATCGCTTTTTTTTCAGAAATAGCCCTCGCAGCGCAACACTGGGAGAGCGCTGGCCAGAGCTTCTCCCAGTTTTCTCATATCTATATTAATATATAATATAGTATATATTATATATCATATTATATATATATATATAATATTATATATATATATATATACGACACACACACACACACTATACCTGTCGTACGTGTGTGCGTGTGCCAACTGTGTGTATCCCTTCTCTTTCAAAAGGTTTTACTTGTACTTGTTTCCAAAAACTAATAGGCTCTCACAGCATTGAGGCGACTTTTGACATTTTCTTCGTTCTCCGGCAATTTTTTCAATAATGCGCTTCTTCTGGCTAAGCGTTCGTCCGCTCCGTAATGAGGCAAGGATCAGCTTGTTGCAGAAATTCTGCTCCAAAATGCACTTAATGGAGCTTGAGACATACTTCGATCTCTTTGACATTCCCCTAGCATTGACATTATCGGTGCTAGAGAGGAATTAGGCAGTGTATGATCATGACGATGTTGTTGCTCCAGTGTATATCAGACAGTTAGAGTATGGCCTTCACCTCCCGCTTCATTTGTTTCTCTACCATACATTCGAGGCTCTGGGGGTCTCATCTTCTCAAATCAAGCCAAACTCCATTTCCACACTAGTGGGGCTCATAATTATTTACCACCGAGTGGGAGATGAACCTACTCTTTAGATTCTCGGTCACCTTCTCAGCGTCAAGGTCAGGAAGAATGAAAGCCACTATTATTTCCAGAACTTGGGCAGCTTCAAGGTCATCTCGAACCCTCTCGAGTCGAACAAGGACTGGAAGTAGAGGTTCATCTGGGTTTTTAGGGCAGACCTGATTCTAGCTCGTTTGGCTTGGCTCAAGATCAAGAAGGATGTTTTAAGATCAGGCTTGCTCTCGATCCAGGAGAAGCACATGCTCAAAAAGATTCGGGCTTACGTTGGGTCCTATAGAAATGAGAATCTATTTGACCCTTTGATCTTGCGAGTGGTCAGCATCTCTAGAACCCTATCGACCAAAGGAGACAAGGCCCAAGTGACGATACTAGCATTGCCACTAATGGAGCCTGAGGTAGCTCAAGCGGGGACCCTAGTCAGGCCTCAGAAGTGCCTATGGTCCAACATGGCCCCAAAAGAGGCCGAGGAGGTTGCAACAAATGTTGCTGGGTTGTAGCTTAGTTTGCTAGGCTGAGTTCCTCTACCGCTAAGGCTAAGAGGTTTGAGAAGAAAAGGAGGAGGCTAAGGAAAGTGGGCATATAACGCCTCTCTGGGTGTAAAGGAGGGGATGCAATAATGGTGGCTAAACCTGCTTCTGTCAAAGAAGCTAATGAAGACGAAATCTCTGCGGCTCCCCTCCTAAAGGCCCCTCTGGTCGAGTCGACCGAGGTCATCATGATCGACGAGGAGTCCTTTATACGAGCTAAGAGGGATGAAGTGGTAGCAGCTGAGCTTGTGGGGGTCCAGAATTAGACCAAGGAGGAGACAACCCCTGTATTGCTAGTTGAGTTGGCTCATTGACAGGGCAAGGAGCTAACTGCTGAAGAACTAGTAGCAAAGGAAGCACCCCTACTCAAGGATCTGGATGGCCCTTCCCACATAGTATCAACGAGCTCAAACCAGACGTGTGGGGGGAGTTGAAGATGATGTTGACGGGGTTGTACAAGATTAGCCCTCGATATGACAAGGAGCTACCAAAGGAGCACCGATTCATCCCCAAGTCATATCTCGATGCAAGGAGGTCAGTCTTGGAATCCAAGATTGCTCACGGTAAAGCTTTGGAGCAATTCTACCCGCCCAGAGATGACAATATACTCTAAACCATGCTAAACTATAGTCTTCACTAAGACGTCAAAGGTCATTTGCTACGAGGGACCCTGGTCGAGCAGTAGTTGTTTGCTTAGTTCGAGCATGAGTGAGGCTCCACTCCCTCCAAGCTCCATGAAGAGTTGAAGATTGAGAAGATGGCTGCGAAGGAGGATGAGCTAGTGGCCAAGAGGAGGAGCAAGGGCAAATGGTACCAAGAGCTAGAGATGCAGGACGACATGGTTAAGGGCCTAAAAGGGTCAATTAGCAAGAAGTCATCCCAAATCAGCAAGCTTCAGGAAGACCTCGGTCATCTCAAGCATTCCTCTACAAATATACATACATATATATACATATATATATATATATATATATATATAATATAATATATATATATATAATATATATATATATATAATAAACATTCCTCTTCGTGCTTGACTGGAAAGGCAAACGTGTTGATACTCCCTTTTGCGAGGACTGACTCTCCACAAAGTCTACCGCAATCATTTGCCAGAACGCCGTTAACGCAGCCGACTCGAAAGACAATTACTTCTGTTCTCCGGCAAGTAAGGACATGATTCTAACTCGAGCTTATCCTCTCTGACAAGCATGTCATATCGCATCAATGCTTATCAAGGCATCAATCATGCATCTGCTCAGCCGACTGTCTTCAATGACTTTATTTGTCCATGTTGTGCTTCGGCTCAACAACGTATATACTCGTCAGTGCCAATCACGACTAGTCGCCCAGCACGACACCCTGTAAAGCAAGTGTTGAGGAGCAACCGTCAGCAACACGCTTCTTCCCATCATCCTGTGCTCGGACCATGAATAACAGTTCTAAACCCACTCATCCCCACAGGCATGACATAAAAGGTACTTATTTACCTTACAAGAGAGGAAATCTGATTTCCACTTTAAACGCTTAAGCAATCGCACTATGACCAAGAAGTCTCAGTTTTTATTGACGCCGTTACTTATACTCAAGTTTACGCCAAACTGCCTTGATCGTCGGAGGTGACCTGAGGGAATCCAAGCCCTATCCTTCACAAGTCTTTCCCTATGCAGGAGAAGAAAAAGATCAATTTCAAAAGAACTAAGAAACGTACGGAGAAAGGAGGCCGCCCGCTTCATCAATTCTCCTCCAACTTCATTCCACGCGAGGACTCAAGAGACCGATCTGCCAATCGCGCAACCTATCCTCCTCTGGATATGATTGAATGTTTAATCCTAGTCATTATGTTTGGCACACCTGTGGGGGAATCTTTATTTTTTTGAGAAACATGGTTAAGTCTAAACAAGGGTACTGATTAGGCCTCACCCTGTAGAACGATATCGCAGGCTACGCTACTCCAAGCCAGCTCGAGAAACAGATTCGGAACAGATCTCTTTAATCTTTTCCATAGAGCAATTACTGCTTCTCGTAGCACGAGCATTCTCAGTCAGCTTCCCAAGAGCAATGAGGAACTACGCTCAGCTCTCCACAACCATTCTAAGGATAAGGTGGTCCCGGAGACTCATTCTCAACTAGACGGCGACCAGCGAGTAGTCGAGCCTCAGACTCTCATGCTGCTGCACTAATCGCCTAGCTGGAGGGATTTGCCAAGCACAAAGAGGAGCAAGCGACCCCGACACCTCATCAGTTGACTCCGCTGACATCTCCTGCCATCATTAAGGAGCTTTAACTACTAAGTGAGAATTCTACACATGCAACCTTGCATAGCAACTAAGGGATGTGGTCTCTAAGACTTCCTCATCACACGATGCCTACCAGGCCCCCTCAACTACCATAAAAGGGCCTCTGGATATGATAGATCTGATACAGACTGATCGCAAGCATCAATCGGGCCGGTAAACCCTCTTCAGAAACCTTATGAATGCCCCATGTAAGAAGTTTCAACGATAGCTCACATAGAGAAGCTACAAAGGGTGAGGAGACCCCTCCGAAGCATGTTTAGAATTACTATGATGTGATGAGCATTACTCTAAGCATCCGAAGCAAGTATATTTTGATGCTTCCGCATCACTCTTATTGGGGAGTGCCAAGCTTTGGTGGAGCACTCTTGAGCAAGAAGTCCATTAGCAGCATTCTAAAGCTCAGCCAAAGTTCATCCATCACTTCTGGCAGCACCAAGCAGAAGCTACCAACTCGATGGTTAATATCAGATAAGGCAAGGGGCCGAAGAGAGGCCTTCGAGACTACTTCAAAAGTTTCAGGCTAAGAGAAGTTTAGAGGCTTAGGCCCTCGATATGCACAAGGAGCTACTGACGGGCCACCGATTCATCCCAAGTCAAAGCTGCGATGCAAGGAGGTCACGTCCTCAGAATCAAGATTGCTACGACGGGTATTAAGTTTTGCGAGAATTTGATTGGCCTTCTTGGTTTTGATTGATGATTTAACAAACACTTTACCACTATGTTGATTTGTCTGTCTTTGTGTTTTGTATTTATTGTAGACAAACAACAGGTAGTTGGGAGGATGATTGGAATTGGCGGCTTCAACGATCATATCCAAAGGAAGGTTGGCGATATGTCGGTGAAGCCTTGCAAATTCAGTTAAAAGATCAAGTTAAGGCTTCATCCGGCATGATAGTTAGCCAAGTGAGTTCAACATGACAGATCAAGCTACAAGCTTTGGGTATATTTAGTATAGGTTTTATATTTGGTGTGTTATATACATCTAAGCTCAATATTATATTCACACACATATTTCATTAGTTTCTTAGTATATATATATATATATTTATATACATATACAATCTGGTTTTAGTTTTATCCCCAAAACA